CTTCAGTGGTCTTTTCCTTATCTTATTTTGTCATTGTTTTATTTGTATTCGATTCACTTAAGTGTATCCATTAATAATCATTTATTTGTGCGTTTAAGAAAACTCCAATAACTGAGATAAAAAGAGGATGGGTAAACCTAGTTATCAATGAAAATACACAATAGCAGAAACATTGCACACTATAAGCATTATCTTTGAGTCTATCATCAAATAAAAGTCATCGCCTTCTTTAAACATTGATATTGACATAGGCTAGTGCTCTCGGAATGAGGCGCATTCTGCATATTCAGAGTACAGTGCGCTTTGATGCTCCATTTTAGAAAAATAAATAAATAATTTTGACTTCATAATCGTGGACAGGTCCATTTACATAACAGCACCTGTCCATCATTTAGCTCTCATATAACGTCCAGTAGCCTGATGTTTCATAACCCAGTTATTTGTTTTGCGCACGCGTGATCGTCACATTTATAACTGTTCCTATAGCGAACTTGAGTTGTGTAAGTTTAAAATCAGTGAGACAGCACGGTTTTGGAGAGGGAGAACCTTTCATAAGTTTTCCGCGCAAGCTCCTCCCAGATTCCTGCTGATGCGCCTCATGACATTACATATTGACGCTTCACATATGGAGAGAGCTGAGGAACCTTTAACAGTTAATACAGCCTCTCTGGAGAACTCGACGATGGAAACCCTCAACAGACAGAAGGAAACCGTATTCAGCCTGGTGCAGGTGAAGGGGACGTGGAAACGCAAAGCAGGGCAAAATGTGAAGCAAGGAATAAAAGGACGAGTGTCAGCTGCCAAAATGTGCGTATAAATCAATAAGTACTGCGAACGTTTATAGAAAACTTGACATTATTGTATTGTGTGTTTTATATGGAAACAATGAAATGAACTGGAGTCAGGCTGAATCAAGGTGCATTAGGGTCAGAACATTTAAAGGTCACAACTCCTACTGTCCCCAGAAACTGCACCCATCTGTAATCAGTTTTTTTGACCCACTTAGAAACATCAAATACATGGATTTGCAGGTCTTAAAGATGTGTTTTTATCTCATGTATAATGTATTAAAAATATGTATATATTTAAAACGAATATATTTATATTATATTTAATTTGGATGGATTAACAATATGTTAAAGAATTTTACTTTCAGTTATTTTTGGCATTTCATAGCTTTTTATGCGCAGAAATGTATGACATCTGTATCATTTTGCTATTAGTAAATGGACATACTAGTAGTGCTACAGTTTTAGTTCATAAGTTTCTTCAAACTAAGTCTCCAGTAAGGAGGAGTCAAATATGAGCTCACTTTACATATCCAATACAATCATCCGCTTATGCAAAGCAGGCTG